ATAAATTTAACTACCACTGTTTTTTTTAAATAATAAATATATGTCAAAGTAGTTTTTTGTTTATCCCAATGGAAACAATTCAAATGTTTGTAACACAAACACATATGTTTTATACAAATGTTAAACATAATTAATACAGTAAAACCTTTCGATAGTAGATTAAATGTGAAAATAGAAATCCTCAATTGTGGTTATAAAACTATTTTTTTTTACTTTTTTCCCCTTCAATGAATGTTTTTAATTTTGATTGGTTGAAAGTTCTCTTGATAAGGAGATACACTTAGCCGGAGACCCATTAATAAATGTTTTAACTGTGATTAATAATTGGATTATTTTTGTTCTTTAAAATATAAATATAATTTAAATAGATAATAACAAAAAAATAATAAATATAAAAAATGCACTAACCGGGACTCGAACCCGGATCTCCACCTTGGGAGGGTGAAATTCTGCCCTTAGACCATTAGTGCTAAACATTTTAATACACTAAATTAATAGTTGAATATTTTTGAAATTTACATTATTAGAATTTTATTGTTATAATAACAGATAAATAGTATTTGAATATAAAAGATACTTTTTGAAAAAAACAAAACAAATAGTTTTGTGAATAAAATACAGTCAAAGGCGTCAGTTTGTTGTAAATGAGAGAATTTTGACTAAAATTCTTTTTAATATTGAAATTTATGTTTTATAAAAAAATAATTTTTAATTTAACAAAAGTTACAGAATCGAAAACAAAATATTTAATTGTCGTACACCAAAATGATTGGCCAGTTGTACGATAATTAAGCAAGTCCAAAATTTTTGATTATACAAAAGTCTATAATAATAGCATAATCAAATTTTAAATAACAAAAAGACAATATGCTTGTATTATTTATTTTAACAATATTTTATTATATTAAAAAAATTATATTAACAAAACTATAAAAATCAAAACAAGAAACCACATTTAAAGCACTAATAAATATTGTTAAACACATCAAAACATTGGATGCAGTTATCTTACAGAATAAACGTAGAAACAATCACGTAGTATGAATTTTTGATACAAGATGCCGACTTGAGTGATAAGTCAACAAACATCATATGGCATTAAACCTTGTAGATAACCCATAAGGTCGAGCCTGCCTCGGTAATATTCATACTGACCAGACAACGAAAAAAACATATACCCTTTTAAAATGTCATGCAGTATTATGTAATACATGACCACAATCATGAAGTTTAATGTATCGATGAACAACATGAAGATGTTTTTATAGCAAAGTAAAAAATAAAGATACAATTAAGCTCCAAAATAAATATAGCAGAGCACGATATGTTTAATATGTTAAACCAACATATGTAGATGGATTTGAAAACTGGGCTAACTTATCTTTCAAAAAAAAATAAAACAGAAAAAACAGAAATGAAAAAAATTACAAAACTATAATTAATTTTATATGAGTGTTATTATATATTATTGTTTGTATATTAAAAATATATATTAAAAAAACCTTTGAGACAAATTATTTTAAAAATTAGTTTCATTTTTTTCTTATATTTCTTTGTTTCAAAAAACGAATATTTTATATTTAAATTTGATTTTTCTTTTAATTGAAACAATAACTAAAAATAACAATTTACACTCTAATGCAACAAACTCTTTAATCAACAGTGAAAAAATGGGTTTTTGTTGTTTAATTCGAACATTTTGAATATAATTTAAATGTGTATTTAATATTCCATTTTACACCAGTATATTTATTAAATAATTCTATGAAACAATTCCAATAAAACCAAATATTAAATTTACAAGTCTATTGCAGCATTTCTATTTTTGTTTACAAATAACCAATTTTAACTGCCAAGTTTTTTTTACTTCTTTTTCATGAAATTAACCTTAGTTTTAAAACACTCAATTCTATGATAATAATATATATAATGTTTATTACTACGGTGTTTTTTTGTGTTTCATTAATTTGGAGTGTTTTTATGAGTATGTTTTACTCCCACCATTTTTGTAAATGATACTTTTTGTGACTGTGAATGCACTTTAAATACATACAATATTTATCAAAATAAATACAACATTTAAGATAATAATATAAAATAAAACTGTTTTTTAATTGTAGTATTTAAAAGTTATTTGTTATGCTTGTCCTTTAGACAACTTTGCTGATTTGTTTTGTAGTAAAACTAATATCAATAGATGTTTTTATAAATAAAAATGGTATTGTTAGGATATGTTTGTTTTTGCTGTGATAATCATGTTTAATAATTTTAACTTTCTTTATGTGACATTATAGTAAATAAGCTCTATATGTTACTGAAAGATAAATATAATAAAGATACTTGTTATATTCATTATATTTTAATCTAAAAAAATTTGATTCTTTTCAATGAACCAATTCAATTGTTGGTCTAATGCCTTTTTGTGTTTGTGGCTAATGAAAATATCAAGATGGATTTCTTTAATAAATAGAATAAAAAAAATTACATTTCCCTTCAGATAGAATAATCCTAATATCACCAGAAATGTAAAAAATTTCTGGTGATATATTTCTGCAATCATTTTTACTCATTTATAAATAATTGCATTTAATTTAACAATAAGCATTGTTAATATTTCAATTTTTAATGAAATGTCAATTATGAAACAAAAAGTTACAAAGACTGAATAAATTCACAGATGGATTTATTTCTTCTCCTCCTTCTTTTCAGTGGCAGCAGCCTTTGGTGCGGCTTCCTTTGGTGCAGCAGCAGCTCCCTTCTTTCCTCCCTTCTTTGGCATGTGTATTTAACGAGTGAACTGTAAGATGCATTCTTCCCTTTTATAGAGCAATCATTTCTGTGGAGGTATGACAGCCTGTACTTTGTCCAATAATCGGGAATATCAAATGCCACATCACCGTGCTATTTTTGGTGTGCTATTTATAACAATGACGTGGTGTGTTGT